TTACCAGATAAGGTCTCCCTATTTCTAAAATCTCCAGACTATTATCTACATGATATTTAATAAAGATAATTCCCAGCAACAGTTTCCCGTAATTGAATATATATTCAAAATTTGCGTGCCTAGGTACAAACGATGCACAATTACAATGACGTATCAATATCGATGACGTAAAAATTTTACTGTATCGAGAACATCAGGGTAAAGTAAGAGAACGACGTACTCATCATCTAAAAATTGATAACTTTGCATAGTCGAAAATTGGAAATTAATTTAAAATATTTGATAGGAAATTTACCGCCGAGAAGCCTGCGTAACTCGGGACGAATAATCCGGAGAGATTATACTCGCATCCGACCGAACTCCGGAGCATGATGAACAGTAACAATTTCTGTGTTTTCACAGGAATGCAATGCCACGTGGAATCATAGCTGCAATTTATTATATGCTCGCTTGAATAATGTGATACATTTTCTTCGTCGATTAAAATCGAAAAAGTGAGATACGATAAAATATTTTATTATTCGAAATTAGTCGGACTTACGATTCGTGAAACACGTCCAAGCCATTGTCGATTACTAGCTGCCCGTGGTAGTTGTTCAAAAATAATATCGCCAAATGAATAAAAGTAGCAGCGAGAGACGTAGAGATTTCTAGTTTATCGTTCATAGATTGAATTGCTCGAAACAACTGTGAAGCATTGGAAAAAGTTGGACGTTTAATGTTACAACGGCAAGTGTCTACATACATAACAGCTGAACGTATACATGCCCAAACAAGAATACTTTTGGTTAAATAAATTTAATTATTCGTGTATCAAAAAGGTAATATGTATTTAGAAGCGTGATTGTCATGGAATTTTAATTAGAACAATTAATCGCTGGCATATGCTACTATTTTGTCGGTAAAGAAAATGCTAGATCATTGAGTATTGGAAGAGTATCACCGGTGAATTATGTCATGCATTTTCGTCAAAATATATTCATTACAAGATTTGCGTAAGAATTTCGCTATAATAACTGGAAAGAATAAAACGATACTCACACGATAGAAAATGAATGCGAGGGAAATGACAGCTAAAATACTTGCAACCAAATAATGTATGATATTAGAAGTTGTCTGGTAACGATTCATCTTCATTGGGTGATCGCATAGCACAGAAAAGGGATGAGTGTAAAAAAGGAATATTATCGTTTAGGTATCTGTGAGCGAAGTATCGTGACATTCTAATTTACCAACTTCATGACTCTATTATGGATGTCCACAACCCGGTGGAAGTCAGAGTAGTCCTCGATTACATTTGACATACCAGTCGACTCACAGTTAGACAGCTTTGTAACAGCGTTCCGTATTCGATAGCTAAGAAATATATAACTCTTACCAGAAGAAGCTGTTGTGAAATAAATTATATCTCTCCAAAATATAGCCTTCAGAGAATTGACAACAGTAACAATATTGAAACGTATTTGTTATAATATCGTTGTCATACTAGCTGACAACTCTCGATGTGGCACAAATATAGAAAGATTGAACTATATTAAGTAATAATTAAGGGACTCAGAGTGGCGAATTTCTCAGCTGCTATAGAAAACAGTGTAACTCGGCTTGCTTCGTATTAAGATACACACTTACCTGGTAATTTTCAGCAATCCACTTGAGTAATGAGAACTCACGTTGAGTATCGACTCGGAGCATACTATGGAACACAATCCGACCATGTAAATGAAACACAGATACATGGCCGTGACGTCACTATATTCCGAATGATAGATGAAATACGAATTCAAGTAGGAAACGTAACGTGTTCGAGGTTCATTTAGTGGTGCTGAAAAATCTAATACTGCCGGCATTAAAATACACGTCGCAGGAACTAGACATAGCGATGTACATATGCCTAAAAGTAAAAAATATCGCTGAATGAATGAGTTGTGTTGAATGCATGTATTAAGAAAATCCACTAGCAACAGAAATTTATAAATATGCGTTCTGCCTTTCCCATGAATCAATGTTGTTCTTGAGAGGCTCTGGATCGTTGATATGATTATTAAAGAATGAGCATGATTAGAACTTCAAGTATGTTTAAATAAGTAAATATTGTCTTACAGGCGAAAATGGTAATTATTTGACTCGACTCATCGATGTACTTTGTTAGTATTTGCATCTCGATCGAATTTTGGAGAATAGTATATTCCCTTTCTATCTGGTCGATGAGGTATCTTGTCTATGTACAAAGAAAATAACGCACTGGAATTTCAGCGACACATATGAAATTACCAATGTTATATCAAAACGTCACGTACCACTTGAAGATTAAGAACGCTAGAAACGTAACGACAGAAGAAGAGCAGTATCGGTAACGTGATGGACAACGTCCGAGTAAAATTTTCTAAAGTAATTTCCGTTTTTATCAGCAGCACTATCTGAAAATATGCTGTATCTGATAATTGCAGGTGAAGTAGTATTAAAACATAATAGTCCGTCCTTATGTGAGACACAATAAAACAACTCTTAGCATATAACTATCAGTAATCAAAATGTTTATATTGTTTTGTTCAATGCAATGTTAAATTATTGTGCAAGCGTACATACATCGGTAAAGCAGGATTACACGTGCCCTACTAGTTTGCGAATTAGGTCGTAAAACCACGTTGCAAAAGATCAAAATCCAGGGCGATATAACGGTTCACATGAAGTTAATAAGCAACATTAAAAAATAAGAGTTTTTCTCACCTGGATCAACACACCGTTGAGAAAGGCCGTAGAGAGTAACATCCTCTTAATTGTACTATATATGGACACAGAATATGGCCATAGTCCTAGCATACGCAGCATCAACGCATATAAGCGATAGTGATTCTCGAAGAAGTCCATCTTCTTCGGTAGACGAGGAGAGACTGTGCGAGGATCTCGAGAAATCCTTCGATTACACCTCGCCATCGTTTATTATTCACGATGTTGCTTTACCATATGGAAGAATTTCCTCGGCGACTGTCACGCGAGTGCCATAATTGGCTATAATGTATGTGAAATACCGACACCAGGTGACAATCGATCGGTTTTTATATTAACGTTCCCTTAGAAAATGATACATAATAGTAATTGATACGGATAAAATTATACACCTCGGAAAATTTCTAGCTTTGTATTTTTTCCACATTTTTCTTACTCGAATAATTCTCTCTGCATTTTTTCCAGCGGTAACCTCGGCATAGCAGTCTTGTCGCAGACGTCGTACGAATTACAACGAGTTCCACTGGTGACTTTTCGTTGCGTGTATGTTCAGTTCAAGAAAGTGGGATAGAAGTTCCAGTTCGAAAAGGGGAAGTGTAGAACGATTTATAATAAGACTTATAATCGCGATTGTTTAATTTACCAATGGCTAATAATAATTTACGGAGTCTATTAGGACGAGCGTTGCAATCACATAATTGTTGGGGTAGTCGCGAGATAAGAAATTCGTCGACAACACATAATCCGATTAGTGATATTGAATTTTTGAAAACTTTTACGCAACCGAAATGAATTAAAGTGACTGAAGTATACCATACGCGTATTGCTAAATTAAAAGTATTAAAATAACAATCCTAACACGGATTTAATACGATCAATTTCACTTGTGTTGCAGATCTAAGATGTGGGATACAAGCGGAGAACAATGCGTACCATCAATTATTAATCGTGCAGCTGTAATCAAGAAGAGGGGAAAAAGCGGAGGCGAAGTAATTCTGAGGCGAGAAGAGTGCTTTCGCGAAACGTGAGATTGTTTAGGGTGAGCCATAAAAGAGAAGCAATTAAGATGATTTGCATGCACGTGACAAAACGAATCGACTGAGAAAAGTTAAGAATTAGAAATTGCGTAAAGAAATATAAGACACGGGAGAAGGTCTGGTGAGGGAGTTCAGCACGAGTCCCGTCAGTAGGGTCTGTATTCTAGCGAAGACAGCCGTGCTTTCGTGATGGTATTTTTTCTCAGTATAAAGAATCCTTACGGGATGCTGAACGCTCGGGGTGTGTAATAGGGCGCAGTTTGTCTTGTATGTACCCTTGATTACACGATATGAATGATTTGTGGGTGTGTTGTATCGTCTCCGGCTTCTGTCGTTTTACGTTTTGTCTTCCGTCTTCTGTTTTCTTCTCTGACTTCTCGTTTTGTCTCCCAACTAGCGTCTTGATGTATTCTGTCTGGCTTCCAAATACGGTCTGATGTATTCTGTCCGAATTACAACAACCGTCTGTCTTTTTTAGTCTAGGTTTACGACGATTGGTGGAGAGTGATTGTAGGTGGTGGAAAGATAGAGTTTTTTGATTGGACAAGAAGTGTTGGAAGGACTTTGGTTTAGGAAAGGGAAACTGTCAGGGAAGTTTCCTTTTGGTATTACTTAGTTTAAGATTTATATGTATGTCTGTTTAGCATTTTGGCGGGTCAGGCGCACGTGTGTACCGTTTGTAAAATCTGGTCCAAAGTAGTGCTGTCCATAGTCCTTGCCCTTGATTTATAATTTCCTAATCCTAAAGAAGGCCGTCTAAACATGGTAAAAGAGACAGTTTGTGACAACCAGTGTCAACTTGCAGTAGAAAGGAAACTAAAAGAAAGTTTTTCAATTTCTGAAATCTTTAAACCATTATCTACGTGAGATTTAATGAAGATAATTCCCTCCAACAGTTTTCCGTAATTGCATATATATTCAATATCTGCGTGCCAAGGTACAAGCATTGCACAGTTACAATGACGTATTAGTATCGGTTAGGCAAAAACTTTACTGTATCGAGAGCATCAGGGTAAGGTAGGAGAACGATGTACTAATCATCTAAAAATTGACAACTTGGTATAGTCGATAATAAAATTTCGCGTTAATTTAAAGAAAATTGGAAATTAATTTGAAATAATTCATAGGAAATTTACCGCAGACAAGCCTGTGTAACACGGGACGAATAATCCGGAGAGATTATACGCGCATTCGTCCGAACTCCGCAGCATGATGAACAGTAACAATTTTTGTGCTTTCACAGGAATGCAATGCCACGTAGAATCATAGCTGCAATTTATTATATGCTCGCTCGAATAATGCGATATATTTTATTCGACGATTAATATGGAAAAAGCGTGATAAGAAAAAACATTTTATTATACGAAAAAACTCGGACTTACGATTCGTGAAACACATCCAAGCTATTGTCGATCACTAGTTGCCCGTGGTAGTTGTTCATAAATATTACTGCCAATTGAGTAAAAGTAACAGCGGTACACAAAGTGATTTCAAGCTTATCGTTCATAGATTGAATTGCTCGAAACAACTGCGAAGCATTGGAAAAAGTTGGACATTTAATGTTACAACGGCAGGTGACTACATACATCACAGCTGAATGTATACATGCCCAAACATGAATACTTTTGGTTAAATAATTTAATTATTCGTGTATCCAAAAGGTAATATGTATTCAGAAGCGTGAGTCTCATGGAATTTTAATTAAAACAATTAATCGCAGGTATATGATACTATTTTGTCGCTAAAGAAAATGCGAGATGATTGAATATTGGAAGAGTAACACTGGTGAAAGATGTCATGCATTTTCTTCCAAATATATTCATTACATGGTTTGGGTAAGATTTTCGCGATAATAACTTGAAAGCATAAAACGATACTCACGCGATAGAAACCGAAGCCTAGTGAAATCACAGCTAAAGTATTTGCAACCAAGTAATGTACGATATGAGAATTTGCACAGATATCGATGCATCTTCATTGTGCGAATGCATGGCACGTAGGAGTTTAGTGTAAAGAAAAGGAATATTATCGTTTAGGTATCTGTGAGCGAAGTATCATGACATTCTGAGTTACCCACTTGATGGCTCTACGGTGGATGTCCACGACTCGAGGAAAGTCAGAGTAGTCCATGATTACGTTTGATATACCAGTTGACTTACAGTTAGAAAGCTTTGTAACAGCGTTCCGTATTCGATAGCTAAGAAATATACAAGTCTCTAGAGAATCACCTAATATGAAATAAATTATATCTCTCCAAAATATAGCCTTCAGAAAACTGACAACAGTAACAATATTGAAACGTATTTATCATAGTAAGGTTGTCGTACTGGCTGACAACTGTCTGTGTGGTACAAATTTAGAAAAATTGAACTATATTACGTAATAATTAGGACACACAGAATGGTGAATTTTTCTAGTGATATGCAATACAGATTAACTTGGCTTGGTTTGTATTAAGATTCGGTCTTACCTGGTAATTTTCAGCAATCCGCTTGAATAATGAGAACTTACGTTGAGTAACGACTCGGTGCATATTATGGCATACATTCCGACCATGTAAATGAAATACAAATACATGGCCATGACATCAGTATATTCCGAATGATCGATGAAATACGTATTCAAGTAGGAAACGTAACGTGTTCGAGATTCATTTAGTGGTGCTGCAAAATCTAATACTGCCGGCATTAAAATATACGTCGTAGGAACTAGACATATCGATATACATATGCCTAAAAGTAAAAAATATCGCTGAATGAATGAGTTGTGTTGAATGCGTGTATTAAGAAACTCCAGTAGCAACAGAAATTTATAAATATACGTTCTTTCTCTCCCATGATTCAATGTTGTTATTGAGAGGCTTTGAATCGTTGATATGATTATTAGAAAATGAACATGTTTGCAATCGCAAGTATGTTTAAATAAGTAAATATTGTCTTACAAGCCAAAATGGTAATTATTTGACTGGACTCGTCGATGCACTTCATAAGTATTTGCATCTCGATCGAATTTTGGAGAATGGTATATTCCCTTTCTATCTGTTCGATAATGTATCTTGTCTATGTACAAAGAAAATATCGCTCTGGAATTTCAGCGTCACATATGAAATTACCAATATTATATGAAAACGTCACTTACCACCTGAAAATTAAGAACACCAGAAACGTAGCGGCAGAAGAATATCAATATCGGAATCGTCATGGACAACGTCCGAGTAAAATTTTCTAACGAAATTTCCGTCTTTATTAGCAGTACTATCTAAAAATATGCTTTATCTGATAATGACAGGTGAAGTACTATTTCAACACAATAATCTGTCCTTATGTGAGGCACAATAAAACAACTCATAGCATATAACTATGAACCATAATAGCCATATCCTATTTATCTGTCTGATTAATTGCATATAACTATCGCTACAAATATTCATGTTATTTTGTTGAATCCAATGTCAAATTATTGCAGAAACGTACATCGATAAAGCACGACTACACGTGCTCTATCATCTTGCTAATTAGATCACAAAACCGCTTTGTAGAAAATCAACATGCAAGAGGATATATCAATTCACATCAAATTAATAAACAACATTAAGAAATAAGAGTTTCTCTCACCTGGATCAACACACCGTTGAGAAAGGCCGTAGAGAGTAATATCCTTTTAATCGTACTATATATGGACACAGAATATGGCCATAGTCCTAGCATACGCAGCATCAATGCATACAAGCGATAGTGATTCTCGAAAAAGTTCATCTTCATCGGCAGGCGAGGAACGACTGCGCGAGGATCTCGAGAAATCCTTCGATTACACCTCGCCATCGTTTATTATTCACGATGTTGCTTTACCATATGGAAGAATTTCCTCGGCGACTGTCACGCGAGTGCCATAATTGGCTATAATGTATGTGAATTACCGACATCAGGTGACAATCGATCGGCTTTTAAGTTAACGTCCCTTTAGATAATGATACATAATAGTAATTGATACGAACAAAATTATACACCTCGGAAAATTTCTAGCTTTGAATATTTTTCACACTTTTCTGAATCGAATAATTCTCTCCGCCTTTTTTTACAGCGGCAAACTCGGCATAGCAGTATTGTGGCAGACGTCGTACGAGTTACAACGAGTTCCACTTGTGACTTTTCTTTGCGTCTGTATTCAGTTCAAGAATGTGCGATAGAAGTTGCAGTTCGAAAAGGGGAAGTGTAGAATGGTTTATAATAAGACTTATAATAGCGATTGTACAATTTATCGATAATTAATAATAATTTACGGGGTCTATTAGGATGATCGTTCCCGTCACATAATTGTTCAGGTAGTCGCGAGATAAGAAATTCGTCAGCAACAAATGCAATCGGATATGTGATTTTGAATTTTTGAAATACTTTTATATAATCAAAATGAATTAAAGTAACTGAAGCCTACCATACGAATATTGCTACATTAGAAGTAGTAAAATAAGTATATAAACCAGGATTTAATATGATGAATTTCAATCGTATTGCAGATCCAAGATGTGGGATGCAAATAGAAAACAATGTGCAACATAAAGTATTAATCGTGCTGCTGTAATCAAGACGAGGTATAAAAGGGCAGGCGATGTGATTCCGAGGCGTTAAAGAAAAGTGCTGTCACAAAACGAGAGAATGCCGAAGGTAGGGAATAAAAGACCAGCAGTTAAGATGATTTGTATGCATGTGACAAGACGAATCGACTGAGAAAGATTAAGAATTAGAAAAAAAGAGAATGCCTGCGTGAAGGAATATAAGATGCGAGAGATCGTCGGGTGAGGGAGCTTAGCGCATGTGTTGTCAGCTTGGTGAACGAGAAAGCTTGTGACAGTGCTATATATCACTAGAAAGGAAACTTATTGTTACCAGATAAAGTCTCTCTATTTCTGAAATCTCTAGACTATTATCTACATGAGATTTAATACAGGTAATTCCCAGCAACAGTTTCCCGTAATTGAATATATATTCAACATTTGCGTGCCTAAGTACAAACGATGCACAATTACAATGACGTATCAGTATCGATGACGTAAAAATTTTACTGAATCGAGAACATCACGGTAAGGTAGGAGAACGACGTACTCATCATCTAAAAATTGACAACTTCGTATAGTCAATAATAAATTTTCGCGACAGTTCAACGAAAATTGGAAATTAATTTAAAATAATTGATAGGAAGTTTACCGCCGAGAAGCCTGCGTAACTCGGGACGAATAATCCAGAGAGATTATACTTGCATTCGACCGAACTCCTGAGCATGATGAATAGTAACAATTTTTGTGCTTTCGCATCACGTAGAATCATAGCTGCAATTTATTATACGTTCGCTCGAATAATGCCATACATTTTCTTCGTCGATTAAAATCGAAAAAGCGAGATATGAAAAAATATTTTATTATTCGAAATTACTCGGACTTACGATTCGTGAAACACGTCCAAGCCATTGTCGATCACTAGCTGCCCGTGGTAGTTGTTAAAAAATATTATCATCAAATGGATAAGAGTAAGAGCAATAGAAAAAGAGATTTCTAGCTTATCGTTCATAGATTGAATTGCTCGAAACAACTGTGAAGCATTGGAAATGTTGGACGCTTAATGTTACAGCGGCAAGTGACTATATACATCACAGCACATATATGTCCAAACATAAATATTTTTGTTTAAATAATTTAGTTATTCATGTATCCCAAAAGTAATAGGTATTTAGAAGCCTGATTCTCATGGAATTTTAACTAGAACAATTAATTGCTGGCATGTGACAGTATTTTGTCGCTAAAGAAAATGCGAGATGAATGAAAACTGGAAGAGTATCATTGACGAAAGATGTTATGCATTTTCTTTCAAACATATTCATTCCAAGATTTGGATAAGAGTTTCACGATAATAACTTGAAACAATAAAACGGTACTTACGCGATACAAACACAAGGCGAGTGAAACCACAGCCAAGATAATTGCAGTCAAATATTGTATGATAATAGTAGTTGTGTGACAAAAATTCATCTGTATTGGGTGAACGCAAAGCACGGAAAAGTGATGAGTGTAAAGAAAGGGAATATTATCGTTTAAGTATCTGTGACGAAAGTATCGTGACATTCTAATTTACCAACTTGATGACCCTAACGTGAGTGTCCACGGCCCGATAAAAGTCAGAGTAGTCCTCGATTCCATTTGACATACCAGTCGACTCACAGTTAGACAGCTTTGTAACAGCGTTCCGTATTCGATAGCTAAGAAATATAAATCTCTTTACAGAATCATCCGGTGTGAAATAAATTATGTTTCTCCAACATATGGCCTTCACAAAATTGACAACAGTAACAATATTAAAACGTATTTATTATGATATGGATGTCGTACTAGCTGACAACTTTCTGTGTGGTACAAATATAGAAAAATTGAACTATATTAAGAAATAATTATGGGACTGAGAGTGGCGAATTTTTCGGGTGATATACGAAACAGTTTAACTTGGTTTGGTTCGTATTAAGATTTGGCCTTACCTGGTAATTTTCAGCAATCCGCTTGTGTAATGAGAACTAACATTGAACAGCGTCTCGGTACATATCGTAGAACACAATCCAACGGTTATAATGAAAACAAAATACAAGGTAGCGGCATCAGCATACTCCGAATGATGGATGAAATACACGTTGAAATAGGAAATGTAACGTGTTCGAGATTCATTTAGTGGTGCTACAAAATCTAATACTGCCGGCATTAAAGTATACGTCAGAGGAACTACACATAGCGGCGTACATGTGCCTAAAAGTAAAAAATGTCGCTGAAAGAATGAGTTGTGTCGAATGCATGAAGAAGGAAAATTCTATAGCAACAGAATTGAAATTTATAAATACAGATTCTTCCTCTCCCATGATTCAATGTTGTTACTGACAGGCTTTGAATCGTTGATATGATTATTAGAAAATGAACATGTTTGCAATCTCAAATATTATTAAATAAGTAAATATTGTCTTACAAGCCAAAATGGTAATTATTTGACTCGACTCATCGATGTACTTGGTTAGTATTTGCATCTCGACTGAATTTAGGAGAATGGTATATTCCATTTCTATCTGTTCGACGAGGTGCCTCGTCTATGTACAAAGAAAATAATGATCTGAAATGTCAGCGTCTCATATGAAATCGCTACTGTTATATGAAAACGTCACTTACCGCTTGAAAATTAAGAACGTTAGGAACGTAACGACAGAAGCATATCAGTATTGGAGTCGTCATGGACAACGTCCGAGTACAACTTTGTAATGTAATTTCCGATTTTATCAGCAAAACTATCTAAAAATATGCTTTATCTGATAATTACAGATGAAGTAGTATTAAAACTGAACAGTCTGACCTTATGTGAGACACAACAAAACAATTATACATATACAATTATATACAATTATAATAGCATATAGCTATCGGTAATCAAAAAATTCATATTATTTTGTTCAATCTAATATCAAATTATTGCGGAATCATACATCGATAAAGCACGATTACACGTGCCTAATCAATTTGCGAATTAGGTCGTAAAACTGCGTTGCGGAAGATCAACATCCAAGACGATATAGCAGTGTACATAAAATTAGTATAAAAGGGTTAAGAATAAGAGTTTTTCTCACTTGGATCAACACACCGATGAGGAAGGCCGTAGAGAGTAAGATCCTCTGAATTGTACTATATATGGACACAGAATACGGCCATAGTCCTAGCATACGCAGCATCAACGCATATAAGCGATAGTGATTCTCGAAGAAGTCCATCTTCTTCGGTAGACGAGGAAAGACTGTGCGAGGATCTCGAGAAATCCTTCGATTACACCTCGCCATCGTTTATTATTCACGATGTTGCTTTACCATATGGAAGAATTTCCTTATCGATTGTCACGCGAGTGCCATAATTTTCTATAATCTATGTGAATTACCGACACCAGGATGCATTCGATCGGTTTTTGAATTGTCATCCCTGTGGATAATGTAACATAATAGACATTGATTTCATAAAAATTGCATACCCTGAGAATTTTCACTCTAACTATTTCTCCCCTATTTTTCTTTGTTACTAATTCTTATTTTCTCTCTCCTTTTTCTAGAAACGGGACTGAGCTTCGTCACAGTGTCAGCCTGCTCGCGGATGGCATAAGAAGTTCTTGACGCGTCTTCATCGCATTACTGTCTTATTCTACAATGTGAAATGGAAGTTGGGTTTAAAGAGTTGAAGAGTTTTTCTTGATTCGGTCTAGCACAGTACAAGTGTCGGTTAATAATCTGTTACAAAGTTGCATCATGTTAATTAATATGAATACAGTGTTGATCGGGATTATCTATGCAATATCAAATTTTTTAACTTTTCTACGAAACGAATCGCGTAAAATTAAACGCAGTTGACGAATATATAAACATCTGCTAACATAGTGAATTTTATCGTGTTTCAGATTTGGTGATGGAATGCCATATAAACATCAATGAGTGATTAATACAAATTACTATGCAGCTGAATTTGTAACAATTGGAATTGCAAGCTACGTAAATATCCGAAGAGAAGAAACAAACTGTCGAAGAGGAAACAATTCAGGTATTAATTCATTATTAATAATTCATGCTCGCATTCACATTTCTAATACTGCCGAAATCTTCCGTACCTTGTAGAATATAAAATAGAAAAAAGCATGTATATTTTATGAGTGAACTACATGTCGTTTGTAATTCTCGATCGCGAACAATATTTCTCTAGCAATTTTGTCAAACAGACGATGCAATTCGAAGTATTTCGCTGCCGTGAAATCAGGAATTCATTATTGTTTATAAATATATATCATAAATATGTGGGGGTTCTCCTGCACGGTCATTTTGAAGTTAGCTGGTCGCAGGTATCCTCGTTGGCGGCGTAGCTAGAAGGGACGGTAGGAAAAGGAAGGGATGCGTTTCGTCCCGGGCCTGCTAGCGGACTCATCAATGAGGCTACCCTAGCAAGCCCTGCCTTAGACACTGGAATACTATTGGAAGGTCGGGAAGTTATATACATAGGAACTGGAGGTTTTTCCGAGGACTTGCGGGAAAGTCCTCGAAGGCGAAATTCATCTAGTGGCGAGGGCGAGAATGATGGTCGCTACAAATATATCCTCCCAGCGACACATATATCCCGTCGTAATAGCAAAATCAGCAAAATATCGCGGCATATTAACCCTCTGACTACGGCAGACTTTGAAACGCATCGGTCGTATCACACGGGTAGGAATTCATTTACAATGTCCGTCGAGAACGGCAAAATTTTGGGTAGAGATGCGCCCTCCGTGTCACAAAAGAAAAATTTCTGAACGTATATACGCCCACGGTAGCCAAGGGGTTAATATCTCGCTATAACTCCTATTTACTGTCACTGTGAAATGTCATTAGTATTTTATAATTTCCGCGGAAAGGTTTTCCACTTTCCCTCCACCTTTTCTCGCGTAGGACGACATAATACCGTCGTCACTCGGTATTACGTCCGGGTTTACGAAAATCGACATTATTCCACTGCACCAATTACAAAGCATAGAATATCGACAACCATCAGGAGACCCCGATTTTAACAGAGTCCTTCGAGAGTATCGAGTTTCGAGAACTCGGTGCCTCTAATATATATTAAAAGCGACCAAGAGAAAGCAAAGAATCCATTTTTTCACGGTTCCACGTGGAACGACTGTTTTAATCAGGAGCGCGCCTACGTTCCACGCGGTTGCCTCGCGAGGAAGTAGCGGAACGGAGCCGAAGTCGGTGATTTATGCGCCGTTTCGCGGCGAGCCGTAGCAAAATTGCCAGTCGAGGGCCCCCGACTAGCATAACTGATTGCTCCAAGCGTTACGGTATCCCTCTCGATGTCCTTCCTTCCTTCCTACCAGCCTACCTATCTGCCTACGTGCTTACCTACTCGACGATCGCGTAGACAACCGCACCGATAGTGTGACCGTGCGATCGCGAGACACTGATTTGTGGCTTGTTTAATCGACCACGAGGGCAACAGACCGACCCGATTCTGCTTTCCTTCCTATTTTTCATTTCTTCCTTTTGCTCGAATATTTCGTTGGATTTGCATTAAATAGGTGCACGAAATCTGTGATTGTAACGGGTATTAAACCTTTGCACTCGAGAGGCGCCCTTCAGTCACCATTTGATAAAATTTCGAAGCTGGATATTCATAAATATGTAAAATTTCAGATAATGTAACAGTGTGCGAGGTATCGAAATCAAATAATTCTACGTGTTAATTATCATACGATTTCTTATTCCTGCTCAGAAAAATATCGTCAACTTTGTAACAGAAAATCTTTGAACTCCTATCCTTCTTTGGCCAAAAAATCATCCAGTGCAAAGGGTTAAAAAGAGGGAAGGATTGCACCAAATGCTAGGTACTAAGACGATTCTTTTGTCAAAAAATCGATTTTATTATCTACGAGTTTCTCTGTGAACAAAATTTTTCAAAGGAAATTTTTACCAATCTTCATTCGACGCCATTGACAGTCGCGATGCAGAATTTGGTAAAAATTTGAATCCACTCGAATTAAACGTATTACGTTTATTT